AAATTACTTTATCAATGAAATTCAAAAATATTGATTTCCGACCATCACACCATAAGAAAATCAAGTAAAAATAAACCATCTTCATTCTTTTACTTTAGATGTTTGTTTCTTTCTCACATATTCATGTATATTTATTTTATTTTCAAAAGTATGTAATTATTGTAATAAAATATACTTTTAATATAAGTATCAACCCAATTTGTAAGACATTGAAATAAATAAAATTAATTTGTAAGACAGATAAAATAAATCAACCCAATTTGTAAGACATTGAAATAAATAAAATTAATTAATTTAATATACAACAACCCGCGCATATGCGCGGGACATTACCTAGTAATAATAAATTTTGAGGGACGCGACACCGGTGCACAGGGTCTTAGACCACATTGATGAGATTGATAGGATCTGTAGCCTCAACAAAATAAATGGTTTAGTAAGGATGTCCTCAAGCTTAAATTGTTTCCCTTCTCTCTAGGAATCAAAGCCCATAAATGAGAGAAGACCCTATCTCCTGGAACAATCACTACATGTGATGATTGCAAGAAAGTCTTCTATGCTAAGTTCTTCTCAAGTTCCTGAACCACAAGACTACGAAATGAGATCTCTGGAGTTGCTTAGAAGAATGGAGAAACTTTATGTGAAGCTTGGGAGAGATTCAAGAACTACACATATCAGTGTCCTCATCATCGTTCAACAATGCATCTCTTCTTTCCTAGCTAAAGATGTTGATGAAGGCTGGGAACTAGTGGAGAACCTTGATCAGTCAAATGGGAAGTATAATAAAAATTATGATTGAGGTATAAGAGGAAGTGTTGATTCTGATGATAGGCACATCAAAGATATTCAAGTTTTGAGTGAGAAGAAATATAAGCTTTTCAAAGTCAACCAGATGCAGAAAAAGTTAATTTTTCAAGATGAACAGCTTCGGGACCAAGATCATGAGAGTGCACAATTAGAGGAGGTCAGATACATCCAAGACGAGGGAGGCTACAACAAGTGTTTCACTAACTATGAGACCAATCCAAACATATCTTATAGAAGCACAAA